AAAACTTTCATGAGTATTATTCCCCTGGCTATTCTCCGGGAGTCTTGGGGTTAAAAGACCAAAACAAAGTCATTGCTTCCATAAGTGCCAAAGTAGCTCACTCCTACCTGTTCCCTGCCACACTTGGTTGAGCTCATCCCTTATGTCTAAGCTCATCTTGGCATAGTGCATCTTCACTGCCCTTCAAGCTGTAAAACCACAGGTACATCTGGATTGGGCATCATCATGAAATTCCACAGCTGAGCTCTCTAAACATCAAACTGTCAAGGTTGGAAAGTCAGACAGAAAGGACTAGAGGACATCTCAAATGACTGCCAAAAGTCCACCTCCCTGCACGAAAACAGGATCAAAGATACCTAGACCAACAGATGCTGCCTACTCTACTCCTTAAAGGCTGCTGAGGAAAGCGATTCCTCAGCATCTCCAGGTTATCCAGTCCAAGTTTTTAGCACCATATGCAGAGTTTCACACTTTCCAAGATATTTGGAAGAACTGGCTACCTGAATCTGCACTTCAGAGCCCAGCAGTTTGGCTGCCAGAATTCTTCATGCCCCATTGCACATGTCAGGGGAGCGCCTGCCCCAAAGCACTAGCTCAGTTCCCCCTGCAGCCCAGCCCAGACAGCTTCCACCACCCATCCTGAAGAAAAGCCTCCCGCAGAGGCTCAGCCTCCATCACCTCATCCTACCAAAAAAACCACACGCTGAGCCAAAAAGAATCTCACTGCAAGGTCCAGCCTGACGTGCCCGGGCCGCAGACCCTGGCGATGGCAAGACTCGTTTGCCGCGTAGCCGAGGCACAAAGCAACCTCTAATTTCACACGTTTTCATTCCAAAAGGCAGACTCCACGGTTGTATTTCTTTATCCATACAGATGTGGTTCTGATACAGACGTGGCACATGAAACTTTCTGCTTAGGGCAACAAAACAGCGAAAAAACAGGGCTTGTACGGCAATTTCGAGTTGAAAAATGAAAGTAATCAGGAAAGACTTGAGGCTCTGAAGTTACAAAAAAAAAAAAAAAGAGTGCAACTGATAGTCCACCCCAGTCTACCCTGACCACCGGAAACACAGTATTGGCTACACTACAATAAGACCTTGCCCGAGTTCTCTTTAAATACTGCTGCTGGAATCACTCACCCTTCACACTGTTGTCCCAACAGCTGTCTCACCAGACAGCGCGATCCTTCCCCACCATGGCGAAAACGCAATCGCCTCATTATTTTCAGAGTGGGCTGACAAGGCTTATTTTCTTAATAAACTATTTCTCAAAACTTAGTAACACTTTAAGCTACTATAAACACACCTTGAAAGCATACCACAATTTTAATCAGTTTCAAACATCAGATGTTGGGTTTGATATTTATGATTGTTCCGACTCCGTTTCATTTAAAGGCTCCTTTTGTCTATGAAAGCAGAGATAAGAAAGTTATCTAGGACACCCACTGTAAAGTCTCTAGTTTAAGAGGAAATTTCCTCTGTCACTGACTGTCAGATGGTAATAGCTGCTGTCACTATTTTCCATATGATACCAGGCAAACAGTCTTAGAGAAGATCCTTCATCCTCTACAAAGCGGTCATCGAGGCAACTAACGGAGCAACTGTGCCCCTGCAGTTTCTAATGCAGACGTTCTTCTAAGTCTGTTTTAACCCACAGGAAAAAAAAATAGTATGTGTCTCTAATAACTACAGTAAGGACTCAATGTGGTATTATGAGGACATGACTGGGAATTACTTCTTTTATAAAGACTCCTCACCAGCCTTTAATTAGCGTGCCAGTTCCTATTCGGAGGTTCCTGATCACTTACAGGCAACAAAACAGACTCCCTTGAACTCGATGGGGTCTAGAGGAGTGCTTAGGGCCATGCAGGGAACTCTCTAGTACCAGCACAAAGTTAATTGAGCAGCCCTTTTGATGCCCAAGCTCTGGATGTCAGCCTTTGGAAGAGTTTTGCTACAAAAGATCAGAAGAAAATCCGGACGTCGAGATTTGGGGCTATGTAAATGTATCACCGGTACTCAGCAGGTACAGCACTAATTTCTTTTTTGCTGCAGAGGAAAGCGAGATGGTGTATCGACCTATTCAGTTCGACTATTTACACGTATTTCACATCTTTGCTTACATAAAACTCCAATGAAGTATTTTAGAACAGAGCATCTGCCAACATACGTACAGCATTCTGCTACAGGCAGATACATACCGTAAGGTATATGTGAGATCATTAGTTAGCTTTGACAGCCGATTTACTGTGATTTATCTTTCAGGATCGCCTCATTCAGAAGGAAAACTGAGTGTCAGCCCCATCCATAACCTACACATCCCGTCTAGATACTTGATAATAGGTTAAAGGATGCAATAGATAGCTCTCCGGCACAAACCAAAATATTTAACCTGAAGCCTTTTGGAATAGAACCCAAACCCATCAGTAGCCCAGCCAGAACTCCTCCTAACACGGATTGCTAGGGGCTAACGAGCATAGAAAACTCTTTACCTAGCACATAATTTTGCTGTTGCCGGGAGAGCTGCTCAGTCGTTTCGGTACAGATCCAAGAAATTCGCTTCTTAGGGTTTTGTCTCTGTTTGAGCCAGACGCAAATTAAGGCTAAATTAAGAGCCGCGGTTCAAAATAATTCAACGGAATGCAAGAACAAAGGGCAAAACTTAGATCTCTACCCTGCAGGTGCACATCCTAACTAGGGCCAGCCACCTTCTGGGGATGACTGGCAACAGAACCGGGAGCGAAACGTTTTGGGTCTGATCCACGTACCACCTTATGTACCACCTCCTCCGTTAGCAAACCCTGCCCAACCAGAACAACATGCCCTGAGCTTCGCTGTAGCAGCGGGCCAACAGGAGATCAGTCTCCAGTGTCTCCACTAGAAACTAAACCATACTGGAACACAACGCAGCCACTTCCTCCGCTTACGATAACGGATCAATTCACTGGGAGCTACCAAATTCATTTTGAACAGCCATTCCTCCTTACTCTCCCATCTCCACCCATCCTTAAAAAACAAAATAAATAATAAAAAAAAAAGAGGTCCCAGGCCCCTGAGTTACTGAACCTTTAAAAGGATTTCCTGTACCCTGCAAAACAGGTGGCAAGCTCCAAAGCACAGCCTGGCAATATAGTCTACACATGCCAGATTCAAGATTTGGCCAAAAACCTGAAGCGAACCAACGTTAACAGCTGCCACAAAAGCCGACAACCTCTAATCAATACCTTCCACGTTTAAGACAGAACAAACTGCCTCTCTGCAAAACATTCTTATGTCTGCAAAGAATAAATAAATTACAACAAATTTAAGGAGCTTGACTTTTGCTTGGCTCAGGAAACCCAGGCAGAGCCCCTGATTTTTCAACAGCAGCACATGCTTAACAGAGAGCAGCAGTGATGAAACCAGTTGAGACACCTGTGAGAGACTAAAAAACACATAAAAAAAAAAAAGATATTCACCAAGGCTGCAGATACATGTGTGTTGCAAGAACTAACAAAGCTTAAAAACCATTGAAAATGTTAACACAGTGAACGTGAAAATATTGAATGTGCTAAAGTATTTTTGCATTACTTCATCCTAGATCTTTTTATTCCCTAATTTGACTCTGGTTTTTAGCCTAGATTATAAAGAAGATTTAAAACAGGGAGATTTTTTTCCTTCCAATGAAGCCTTCCCATTAATAAAAAGGAAACAAAGAAAATGAAGAAAGTGAGCAGTAAAACTTTTACAACATAATAAAATATATCAGAATCCCAGAGCAGCAGGATTGGAATTGTCTAAAGATGCTGAATTATGATCGGTTGTCATATAAAGTTCAGTCCGGAGTATTAGCAATCATATTCTCTAGCAACATGTACATAATTGGGAGATCTTCATAATAACCCTCAGTTTTAAAGGCTCATAAAAACTGCGTATTACTCGTAATTTGCAGGAGGAAAGAAGAATTCTTAAAGGAAAGTAACGTCTTTTCCTCAGTAAGAAAGACTCTGAAGACAATACACTCTGTGTTTCAAAGCAAGCAACATCAAAAGGTCTCTTTTTCTTTCACAGTTTTTCGGTGGGGTATTATGCAAACACTCAGTTTAAAAAGATACATACATTTCTATAGTACACACACTAGAAAGAAAATTAGAATCACATAGAGAGGAACCCTCTGAAAGTATATTGCAAGCAAAGCATGTTACATTATTTTTGAATACAAGTATAGAGGTATGTCAAGGTAAATATTTTGATGCAACACTATAAAATTATAACAGTAAAACCAGCTATGCCACTCACACACACACAGAGAAAAGAAAGGATGTTGGTTTTATGAAACGTGTGTAAACTACATTTATCCACCTCCAAAACACACCATGAAAATAATTATTAAAAAATTATGAGAACTTGATACTCTGGGTCGACTCCCAAATCTCTCTACATTTTCTCATTTTCTCCCCTGACATTCTAAAACAAAATCCTTTCGAGTTTGTTAGGGAGTCAGCTACCGATTGCCATAAACTTCCAGCAATCCCAGCCACCTTTGGACTTGCCAAGGCAACGAATGGGATGCTGAAGTTTCTATGCGGAACAGTACAATACAACCTGCCATCAAACCCAGATATTTTAACTTTATAGTTTTGTGAGAGTAAATAAAATGTGTTTGTTTTCAAATAAAGCTACTTCAAGCTGTTTTGGGGAAGCACAGTAAGTAATAATAACAACAATTCCCATTTGTATTTCAAAACCTGATGAAACAAAACCAGCACATGTCAAATCTAGCGTTTTCCTACCTGGAACAGGTAAGGACCAGCTCTCAAATGCCACCTTGGGATAGTTCAGACTAGCAATCCCGTTCATGTTTAGATGAGACATCAGCATGAACAAGAAAGAAAAGAGAGAGAAAAAAAAAAAGTCTACCCTGCCCTTCTCTTCTGTTACTAGCAACGCCTACAGCAGGGGTTAGGACCTGACTAACCCAACCGCGCCGGTGAAGAGAAGGAGGTTTAACAAGAGACTTACTGCTCGCCATGTGACTAGGGGAGGTATGCTGCCCGTTGGGTGTGCTGGAGGTGAGGTCGATGGCCATGCCGGAGTGCTCCCTTTCGGGCGAAAGCTCATTGTCACCTGCTTGCACAAAACAAGCCCCCCGTAAGTTTCCATCCCCTTCTTCGGCAGAGCAACACGACGATTAAAAAGCACGGCTCGCTCGCTCCCTTCGCCCCTGCCCTTCCCTCCTCTACCAGCCCGTAAAATCCTGGTAGTAGGATTCTCGGTAGCCACAAATAAACATTTGACTGACTGATTTTAAGAGCCCCCTCAAACCTACTGCCACCAGTCCTCTACACACACGCCTGTGACAAACCTTGCCCCAGCTGCTTTGTCTCAGGAGAAGTTCGGATTACTTTTCTACCTGCAGACACGGAGAGTTGAGGCTGGGCAGGAGAAGACTGAAGCAGCACTTTAACGTGCAGACCTTCCCCCACAAAGCTCTCGTTAACCGACAGTTAAACAAAGTGCTTAAACTAAGAGGTTTTGCCCTGACAGAAGACAGGAGAAACGCACAGTAAAAGGCATTAAAAGTTTCTGGGTGCAATCTGAACTTATGAAGACCAACTCTCTCTCGTTTGCAAAGTTCATTCGTCCTCATCAAACATTTACACCTGGAGCTACTCCCCCATGCACCCATCCCCATGCAATTTCCAGTCACACACAAAGTTTATGTTTAAAGGCTGTTAATTCGGCAGCATCTCCATGCAAAGACCATACACGAGGAAGTTAAAGTTTCAGATGTCTGCATTACAGAAAAGACAGTGGGAAAAAGAAAGTAATTCAGAATAATCAAATAAAACGACTACTTACATGTTATATATCCATCAGCAGCCTCTGCTTCCATAGTCAAAGTGCAGTGCTGCAAGGCAGAAAAGTACACCCTCAAAGATGCCTGCCAGTATCAACCATTAAATGATTAAACTTACTTAAAGCCCTAAGTAGTTGCCCATGTTACTGCTGTTGCAACCATTGCCTAGAGAAACGCACAAGTGTAGCGCATGTGCTCGTTTGCAAATCACCCAACTCTTCCTGCAAATTATCTGGGTAAAGAAATTCAGCTGGCTCCTGGGCAGGCGGCGCTGGGATCGTCTTGGTCTGACCCTACCTCACATTTTTACCTGATCTGAGAGTTTTTTCCCCCTGACTTTCCACTTGTTTTGTCAAGCCGGGACGGTAATGCTTTATCACTTATCAGCTCTCGCAGCCAGAACAGACTTTGAGGAGAAGGATGCTATGAACAATTGCTCTTTTCACACGCGTTCCAAGCGACTCCATCCTCATCTAAGCAAAATAAAGCCCTCCCAGGTCCGTTCCCCTTCGAGAGAGTTATCACAACTCTTTGTCTCACACCACCCTACGCACACACACACCTGCACACGCACCTGTTCCCTCTAACCCTATTTATCTGCCACAGCATGGGGCTGAACGTCACAATACTCCCAGATCATGCATTTTGTGGCGTGAAGCAATCTTAAAGTTTCTGGAAGCACTTTGCTGACACAGAACAAGCTATTACTTTCCAGAAACCCAAGTAACTGTATAGAATGACACCCCCTAGCTATCA